ACCAGGTAAAACATCCATGGGACTCTGAGAACTTGACCGTTAGCATTGTAAGCAAGGGTCTTTCTCTGTAAGCGGGTTTCATTTGAATGACATCCCTGATGAAATTAGAACTGGCAGCCTAGCAAAATGTTCTACTCCTGGAGAAGCGCAACTTTCAACCTTCCAAGTTCCTTGTTGTTGTCAAGGAATCTTGTTAGACCTGAAGGATTTTCCTTTCTCGGTTTCTATTTTGTGGTTATATGTACATCTTCAAGAGTTTTCCATGTGAAAATACTGGGCATTCCTCCTCTCTCTTCCCTCTTCCTCCTGCATTTTTAAAAAGGTGAACATTTAAGGCTTAAGATTCATGGATCTGAACCAGGCTTGTGAATACTGGTCCAGGTCTCCACCCTGGAAGATGACTTTTCCCCATCCACCAGCCTCGGTGCCCCCTCCCTCTCCCTCTCAACATAAACAGAACAGCTTGTATTCCATGTCTGAATAGTAAACCTGCTGTCTAAAGTTTGCTTTAATATTTATGTGTTCAGCACTGCTGCCTGTTTCTGAGTTCCATCAAAGCCTTTATTATAAGAGCATTTGAAAATGTGGGGGAAGTAGAGAAAGGAGTTGACGTGTATGCCATCTTTCTCACTCTCCACCAACTTAGCCCCTTTCCTCTCTCCTCTCATCCTTCTCTCCCTCTCCCCTCATCCTGCAGTCTCTTTTCCTCTTATACACACATGCACACACGCGCACACACACATACAGCAAAGAGAACACTTTCCCAAGACCTCTGGGAGGGCTCTGTTCAATATTTATAAACTGCTGCAGCAGCTGTAATAACCAGAGGTAGCTGGCACCACCACAATTTGCTCCAAATAGGACTCTGCCACAGAAACAAAGACTGAGCAAGGGCAAAGGGTGAGGGTGAGGTGCCTGGGGGTGCAGCTTCCCCGGGCAGTGGATGAGCACCAGGCCAGGTCGTCGGACCTGGTTCTGGGCCTGACTCTGTGGCTGGCTCACTCTGGGACCCTGGCCGTTCACCTGCCCCCTCAGTGCTGCAATAAATTTCTGAGAACCCTTCCAGCTGTGATATTTGGTAACTTGGCATAAGAGAATGTGACCCCAGCCAGTCCACCCACATCTGTCCTGGCCACCGAGGCCTCTGTAGCACAAGACATTCCTGTTTTGGAACACTCACAGAGCAAGGGTTTTTCCCGGAGACCGGGGCCCAGGCAGGGTAGCCTGTTGCTTAGGTAACAGGATGCTGCTGTGAGGACCAGCCTACTCCCAGTGGCTTTTTAGGGGCCTTTTTTTTCCCCCTATCCACACGTTTCAAGGTTTGAATTCTGGCTCCTCTACATCCTAGACTTGGGCAGGTTGCTTCAGTTCTCTGATAGCCCGTTTCCTCCTGGGTAAATAAGGATGGTGTTCTTTACCTTGTAAGGTTGCTGCAAAGGTTACATGTGAGGCAACATAGATAATGCAGGCACATAGCAGTGCACAGCACATGTTAGTTCCACTCCGCTCTGTGTGGGACAGGCCCTCTTCCGGGGGACACCAAGCTATTCACTGCCTGCGGGCCAGTCGGATATCCTCTTTCCAGAGAGTGGGTGATGTGACTCTGTTTGCTTCTTGGCACAGTTGGAGTGACAGTGGAGACTTGCGCATGGGATGGGTGCTCTGTGTACCATCGGCATGTGTAAGTGAGGCCTCGGCACAGGTGATTCGGCAAAGGGAATTGATGCAGGTATGGGTTCCCTCTGCTTTGTGCATCCCTAGAAAGAACTCAAGGAAGCTGGCTTTACTGTTGGAAAATCACTGCCCCAAAGCATCAGACTGGTTCTCCACTTCCCTCCCTCCTGGGTCTGAGAAGACGTTAGGAGAGCCAAATGTTAGCTCAATCCATTAAGACTCCTGCTTCCAGACCATGCCTCCGGGGATATTAGATGCCATCATGGTCATTTCTCTCTCTCCTGGGGCAGCAACTGTATCATTCACATGTGAGTAAGAGATACCACTGACACGCAGCCCCAGAGCCCTCTCCCGAAGCTCAGTTCCTGTCTCGTCACCCCGGCCCTCTCTCTAAGAGGCCTTAATAGGAGGCATCACAACCATTTGCTGTTGGAGGTGATGGATGGGCCTAACAGAAGAGGATGATTTCCGGGGGGAGACACACAGCTGGCACACGCCTGAATCCCAAATCCCATTTTCTGGCACACATCCAAAGTAAGAAAGAGGAACGGGGCAAAATAAAGAGGTCGCAGGAGCCAAATTATTCCCCCCCCCCCCCCCGCATTGGCGGGGGTGGGGCTGACGGGGAGCGTGAGAGGCCACAAGCTTTGTTTGCTCTCCCCAGTCTTTGTCTGGTTTGGATCAGCAGGTGTTTTGTTATGCAAAAGCCTCTTACTAGAGAGTTCTCTCCGTTTTCTTTCTCAACTCAGGCCCCAGTAAGGGACCAGGGGGCAGAAGTGTAAGCAGCCATCCTAGTCACCCCCTGCAGGAGATCCTTCAGCACCCCACTCTGCTGGGGGCCCTCGGCCAGGCTCAGCGGGGAGGAAGGCGAAAGCCCCTGCCTTCGTGCAGCTCTCCATCTAGGGAGAGAGGCCGGGGGAGGATGGTCTGGCAGTCAGGCCCACGTGTGCTGGAGGCAGTGGCCTGGGGCTGGGCGTGGGAGTGAGAGGTGACCAGGCAGGCTTCCACAGAGAAGACGTCTCAGGAGGGGACCCGGAGGGGGTGTGGGACTTCCCCAGTGCCACTGCTGACCTGAGCAAAGGAGGCTCAGGGAGGGAACTCATGTTCCCTAGACGTTTGTTATTTGAACATTTTCAGAGGGGACCACCCAAGGGCACTTGTGAGTCAGAGCTAGGATTCGGTCGCAGCCCGATGTTGCACCTTTTCCTCTCTGGCTGTGGGCAGGGGACAGTCAGAGGGCAGTGAGGGGTTGGACCACCCCATCCTCCTCCTTCCTCTCCCACCAGATCCCCTACATTTGCTCTAGGAGCCACCGCAGGAAGTCCAGGGTCACCAAATCACCGCTCACCATCTGCAGAAAAAACCAGGGTGACCATGTTATTTTGGGTTACCAGGACACTCTTTAAAAAATGAGACAGAGTCTTAAGGATCACTGTGCTGGGACAACAGGGGAGACAAGAACCCAAACCTGCCCACCGTGACACTCTCCAATGGTATCCTCTGCCGAACTGTTGCCAGAACTGTGCCTGGAGCCTCACGCTCCTCAGGAATGTTTCCTTTCTCTTCCTGGTCTCGCTGAAGCCTGGCGCTCCCACACCACTCCGACCACTGGAGACATGGGAGGGGTCTTCCATGCTCCAGTACTTCTGGACTATTCTCTCTCCCTCCCTTCCCTGAACACACCCAGCTGTCGAAGCTTGTGTCAGGGAACTGCAACCCCCCACACAGCCCCTCCCTGTTGTTGGCACCAGCACCTGTTCCCCCCAGTCCTTGGGGGGATTATGGGCTCACTGTCAGCCTCTCCACTGCTCTTGTCGTATTTCTTGGTGATTGCAACCACCAAGAGATTCACATCTCTTTCTCATACCCCATTTCCAGTCTATCTGTAAATCCTATTGGAGCCACCCTCAGAAAACATCAAGAAACTGAAGACGTCGCCTCACCTCCACCATTACCTGCCCGATCCAGGCCACTGTCATGTCGCATCTCCTTGCCCTGCCCTTGCACCCCATGGTGTCCCCCACACAGCATCGGAAGGGATCTGGCAAAAGTCAAATCACGTCACTCCTCTCTGCTCAAGACCCTCATAGGGACTTCCACCCCACAGAAAGGCCACAACCCCTACCATGGTGCACATGGTGCATCTGGTTATGGCCCCCTCCTGTGGCTTCAGGCTGTGGCCACACTGACCTCTTCGCTGACCCTCAGATAAACCAAGGAAGTGCCCCCGCCCCCCGCCACCTTAGATCCTCTGCCCTGGCTGCCCTGCCACTCGCTCCCAGACCTTTCCACACTCATCTCCTTCTGATCTTTAAGCAGATGCTCCCTGCTGACAGCCACCTGTGTATTTTGTTCACTTTTTGGTTTGTGACCTTCACTAGAAAGAAAGTAGGCTCCACACAAGCAGAGATTTGCATCTGTTTCGATCACTCCTTTATTCCCATTCCCAAAATGAGGTTCTCAAACTGGAGCATACATCAGCATCACCTGGAGACTCAGTAAAACCCAGATCACTGGGCCCCACCCCAGTTTCCTGTTAAGTGGGTCTAGGGTGGTCCCAGGAATTTATGTTTCTAGTAAGTTTCCATGCAGTGCTGCTGCAGCTGCTGCTGATCAGGTCCACACTCAGAACCACTAGTCCAGAGCAGTGTCTGCCCAGCGGCTGTCTGTCTTAGTCTGTTCGTGCTGCTGTAACAAAATCCCCGAGACTGGGAAATTTATGAAGAACAGAAATGTACTTCCTCACAGTTCTGGAGGTGGGGGATCCAAGAGCACCACGCCAACCTTTGGTGTCTGCTGAGGGCCTTCCTGTTGCATCCTCACATTGCAGAAGGGAGAAGGGCAAAGGGTCTTGAGAGTTCCCTGGAGTCCTTTTGCAAGAGTCTCATCCCCCTAGATTAGACCTAATCTAGACCTAATCTAATCTTGTAATTAGATGGTAAGAACCTAATCATCCCGTAAAGACCTTCGCTGCATTGGGGATGAGGTTTCAGCATGAATTTTGGAGGGGACACAAACATTCAGACCTTAGTAGCATCCACGCCGTGTGTGTTGAGTAAATAAATAAATGAGGGTGAAGTGAATAAATAAATGAGGGCGGAAGTGAAGGGTGTGGCTAGGAGGGGAATCCAAGCATGGAAAGGTAAGTTGGCGCCTTTCTACTGAGGGCCTCGAAGGCAAGGCCCCAAGGAATTTGGCTACAGTGGGGGCATTAGGGCAACTTGTACCTCTGTGGGAGCTGGGGTTCTGGGAAAGGTATGAAGCGACACAGCCATGGTGGACCCCATGCCTGGGATCCACTCCTGACTCTATCTTTGTCCCCCTAGAGTATGCAGAGAACATCGGGGACGGCCGGAGCCCGGAGTTCCGGGAGAACGAGCAAAAGCGCATCCTGGGCTTGCTGGAGAACTTCTAGAGGCACCTGGGGCCTGCGCATCATGGACTGTCTCAGCTTCCCTCCCAGGATCAGTTTCTACACAACTCTGTGTGGCTTTTGGACAAATTAAAGCTAGTTTTGGTATCCCTGAGCTGATTTTCTTTGTAGTGAAGCTTCGCCTGCTAACCCTCCCTTCCCCCCTCCCTACAGCAGCTACTTCAGGACTCCCCCAGGGAAGGCCCGTGGGCAGCCTCACTCCGCCAGGGGGGACAGCTGAGGCTCAGGGCGTAGCAGTGACAACCTCGCCACCGTGGCTACGCAGGTGGTGCTGCTGTGAGGCTGGAGTGGGGGCCCAGCTAGAGTCTAGATGTGGGACCCGAGGCCCGGGCCTCATGCTGCAGCTCCATGGGGAGGCCAACCACACAGCACAGCCCTCAGAGCATGCAGAGCCCTGCCGCATGTCAGACCACTCGGGTGGGGGCTGCATGGAGGATGACCAGATCCCAACGTGGGCCCCACTGCACAAATAGCATCAAATCTCAGTGAGGCCCTGGCATCTGGGCTGCTCAAAGCTCCCCGGTGGTTCCGTGCATCAGGGTGAGAGCCACCGCTTTAGAGTGGACAGGTTTGGGTCCATATCCCCACCGCATCATTACCAGCTATACATTCTGTTCTGGTTTGGGGTTTTGTTTTGTTTTTTTAAGACACAGGGTCTTACTCTGTGGCCCAGGCTGGAGTGCACTGGTGCGGCCACGGCTCACTGTAGCCTTGACTTCCTGGGCTCAGGCGATCCTCCCACCTCAGCCCCCTGAGTAGCTGAGAGGGAGGTGCCACCACATCTGGCTGATTTAGCTGTACATTTGGATAAGTGACTTTCACCTGTCCGAGTCTCACTTCTTCACCTGCACAGTGGGGCCACTCATACCCATTTGCTGCTGAGGAAGCCATGCTCAGCAAGCCTGCAGCACAGTGGCGAAGGCACCGTCGTGGCTTTGTAGCTGCTGCTTCCTTTGGTTCTTCCCACACACATTTGTGACTTCAGAATTGTGATTTCAGGCCGGATGTGGTGGCTCTCACTTGTAATCCCAGCACTTTGGGAGGCCAAGGTGGGGAGGATCTTTGAGCTCAGGAGTTCAAGACCAGCCTGGGCAACATGGTGAAACCCTGTCTCTACAAAAAATAGAAAAATTAGCCAGGCATGGCGGCACACACCTATGATCTCAGCTACACGGGAGGCTGAGGTGGGAGGATTGCTTGAACCCAGGAGGTCAAGGCTGCAGTGAGCTATGATCATTCCACTGTACTACAGCCTGGGCAACACAGCAAGACCCTGTCTCAAAAAATAAAAAAGAACTGTGATTCTACTCATTTGACATAAGTGATGAGAAGGTTGGTCTCCCCTCAGAAGTCAGCGGTGCTTTAGCATGTTTTTAATCAGTCCTCAAAGAGCAGAGTCCCCATGAGTGAGGAGGCAGAAGAGCGGCCAGATGTAGAAAGCAGCCTTTCATTCCAATGCATTGTGCAACCCAGGGTCACAGACAGGCTGCCGGGGACGCCGCACGCCTCACACTGTGTCCCTACCGCTCTTGCTGCTCCCTAGACCCTGAGGGACAGGGCTCCAAGCGGCCACTGCCATCTGGCCAGAGTTGACATGCTGGGTGAAACCTGTTTGCCATCCCAGGAAGCCACCAAGAGGTCCCTGAAGAAGATGGCACCCACTCTGTGTCCAGCCTTGGACTGGTGATGGAACAGTGAGTAAGGCAGGCCCTACCCGCTGGTGCTTACTCGCAGCCTGGCGGGAAGACAGTGCGTAACCATAAGCGTCCCTGCAGAGAGGGGCAGGAGAGTGTGACAGGGCCTGTCACAGGATCCGATGGCGGCACTGTCACTTTGGGTCTAGTTCTTCCTTGACTTTTCTGTAACTGTAGTAGCTGGCACATATCGAACGCCCAGTGGCATTGTTGTCCCCAATTTATGCAAGCCAAGGCTGAGGACTCAGAGAAGGTAATAGCTGCACAAGGTCCTGTGGCCAACCAGCAGCAGAACGCACATTCTAGCCAGGCCTGTCCAACGGCACAGTCCACACCCTCTCCCGCCGAGCTGCTCTACCTGGAAGAGTCACACCGTGCCGGCTGATGCCGTGCTCCGATCCTTTCATCTGTTGTGTGGTTTAATGAATTCACAAAAAATAGAGCATGTCCAGGTGTAACTTAGAGAAGCAGCCTTCTACAGCTAAGATCGGTACTTTAGACATCATCAGTCCTTCACCTTGATTTTCTTTTTCAATTTTAATTTTAGCCAGGTAATGCTTGCAAACGGTATAGGAGTTCAAAATTTAACAAAAAGCTAGGCAGTGAGGAGTCCACCCCCTCTCCTCTCCCATCACCTAGGACTTCCTGCCCCTGGAGGCAGCCGCTGCCATCTGATTCTTCTCCAGAGTTCTGTCCAGCGTTCTGCCAGCCGTGTTCGGAAGCCCAGGCCTCCCCACCAGCTCCCAGAGGCCAACATAGGAAGGGAGGGCTGGGGCGGCTCAGGCACTGTCCCCCAGCCACGGTTGCCACGCCTTGCCCTGTTTCGCATGCGGCAGCCTCCTGAGATTCTGTCCCTTTGCTAAAAGCAAGTTGGAACTCTGCCCTTAACAAGTGAGGAAGCGGTCCCCTTTTCCATCAGTTTTGTGTGGGGAGGGTTGGGGACAATGAGAGGTGTAGTCCCTTCGGGTGCAGCAGGGGAATACAGTTCCAGGGCCCGAGGGACCAAGGAGAAAGGGTAAGGAGAAAGCAGCCACCACCACTCCCAGATTTCAACGACCCAAGGCCCCGCAAGCTTTTCAGGGCCAGGGAGAGCTACTCGTTGCCCACCCCAGGCTCCTGGGGCGTGGTCCCAGCTCTCGGGCGCAGGCAGCTGACTGCCTGCCTGAGAAACTAAGAAACAGTCTGCCTCACAGAGCAGCACCTCTCCTCTGGGGGAACTTCTTGGGCTTCCAAGAAGGGCTGCCCTTGACCTGTGTCTCCGAACCTGACTTCTTTGCCCACTGTAGGGGTTCAGTCTAAATTTGCCCCTTCAAGCAAAGCTTCTTCATGTTCATCCTCATGTCCATAGCTGAGTGGGACCAGACCATAGCATCCAGAGAGGCAGTATTCCCTTTCCAACCCAGACGTGGCAATCAGATTGCCTTTTAGCCATATTAGCCAGGGTTTCTTTACAGGGGAAATAGGATTCCACTCTCATCTTCCGTGGCGGCTTGCTGCTCCGTTTGTGGTGGTCGCACGCCTGGATTCAGCAGCAGCAAGATGGGCCGTCTCTAATTCAGAGATTTGCATGCAGGCTGCGTGCCTTCCTTATCTGGGGAAACGCATTGTCAGGGCCGCTGGAAGGCATCCCTCAGTCACCCCCATGGTAGCACCAGTGCGCAGGTGGCATCTTCTGCCATGACTGAGGGCGTCAATTTAGTGTCAACAGGGAGACGAGACTCGCTTTCCTAAAGGCAAGGCTTCTTGATGAGATTTCCTTACCCAACAGTGGAGGTAAAAGCAGACCCGCATTTTTCAATCTGTCTGGCTCTTCAGCACACATGGAAAGTGGCTGGTAGCACAGCGGTGGGCCTTCATTATCTGTGCTGGGGAAAATGGCAAGCGTTTCTCAGTCACCTTCTTGATTAGGTAACACGTGCCCTTGGTGTAAACCTCAGACGGTGCGTAAGGGCACACAGTGCACGCATCTCCCTGCCAGCTGCGTCTCCTGGCCGCCCAGCACCTCTCTCCAGAAGCTACCACGGCTCATGAGCGGAAGTACCCTTTCCCTTTCAGAGACTCCTATGTGTTTCCGAGTGAATAAAAATATTTTTAACACAAATGGTGGCATCACCCTGTCCTCTGTCATGCACCTTGCTTCTCATTCCCCATCACCACACACAGCTGCCCCCACTCCTTTAATACGCACACCCCATCGCAGAGCTGTACCATAATGTTGTTAATTGCGTTAAATGACATTCAGACTGTTTCTGATCTTTAGCTATTACAGTGCTGCAGTGATCATCCTTGTACAGGGCGTCATTTCACACACGTGTGAGTTTAGACTCCCAAGTAGCATTGCCAAGTCAAAGAGTGTGCCTTTTTCATTGATATATATGGCCACACTGCCCTTCTTTTGTCAACTGCGTGCACGAGTGTCCTCTGCCCACACGCACCCTAACCAGCGCGCTGTTAGCAGGCTCAGCACTTCGCCTCAGTGGGTGAACAGTGCGGCCTGCTTGTTGCTTTAATCTGCGTTTCTCTCACTAAGTGAGGTCATTTAGTGCGCTAGAATAGAATTACGCGTGCGCCATATTAGCTAATACTCATTGAGCTCTTGACTCATTGAGCTCTTGACTCATTGAGCTAAGTACTTTCCTCAGATTAGCTCGTTTCACCCTCATTCCTGAAATGTAGGCACTTCCTTTTGTTGTTGCCCAGGCTGGTCCCAAACTCCTGGGCTCAAGGAGTCCTCCTGCCTCGGCCTCCTGAGGTGCTGGGATTTCAGGCGTGAGCGCCCAGCCTGACATGTAGGTACTTGCCTCATCACGTCCATTCCACAGCTGAGGACACCAGACTGAGGGGAGGCAGTGGTTTAGAGTGACAGCTGGGAATAGAACCCAGGCAGACCCCTGCTCCTAATCTCAGAGCCACCCTGTCTTCCTGCTGGTTGCTAGAGAGGGCCTGGTGAGGCTGGAGAAGGTGGCACAGAACACATTGGGAGCAGAAGCCCCAGCAGGGCAGCCCTTCCCCAACCCCATGACTGAAGCCCGTGTGGCTCTGCAGAGGCCCAGCACCCTTCAGCCTGTCCCTGCCACATCTCGGTGCCTGACTGCCATCCTCCCCTGCATGGAGGCCCTGGGCCAGGTTTCCAGGCTAGGGATGGGCAGTCACATGGATGTGGCCCTGGCTGCTGTCCCATGGGAAGGGAGGGAATCTGAGAAACATCTGGAAGGTGGGGCTTTCCATCTGCAGCAGTGAGGAGAGCCACCGTTTGGCACGGCTGCAGTGAGGATTGCTGCCTGTCCCCCCACCCCATCCACCCACCCCTGCCTGTGCACAGAGCCCAAATTGCTTCTCGTCCAGATCATCCCACCAGTCTGCTCTCCTCACCCCATGTTGTGCCTCCTCCCA